ACGGCATCCAGTTTTGCTCGCCACGATGTAAAAAAAGACGTTGAGACTCTAGAAAGAGTGCAGAGAAGAGCAACAAAGAGGATTAGGGAACAATTAACCAGTGGAACAGAAGTGGCCTTCAGAAGTTGTAGGTGCTTCATCAGTGGAGGTTTTTAAGAAGAGACTGGACAGCCATTTGTCTAAAGTGGTCTAGGGTCTCCTGCTTGAGCAGGGGGTTGGACTGGAAGATCTCCAAGGTCCCTCCCAACTCTATTCTTCTCCTCCTCCTCCTCCTCCTCCTCCTCCTCCTTTTTAAGAAGAGATTGGATATCCATTTGTCTGAAATAGCATACGTTTCCTGCTTGACCAGGGGATTGGACTAGAAGACCTCCAAGACCTCCAACTCTATTCAACGTTGTGGCCGTTTTCGATGCTGCTGATGAGCCCGGTCACGTCATGATTCGCTTAACGATCCCATCGCTTAGCGACGGGAGTTCCAGTCCCGATTGTCATAAACCAGGGGTAGGCGACCTTGGCTCTTTTATGACTCATGGACTTCAACTCCCAGAATTCCTGAGCCAGCATGGGGGAACTATGGCTCCCTTGATGACTCGTGGACTTCAACTCCCAGAATTCCTGAGTCAGCGTGAGGGAACTTTGGCTCAGGCAGGAATCCCTAGACCAGGGGTAGGCCACCTTGGCTCTTTTATGACTCGTGGACTTCAACTCCCAGAATTCCTCAGCCAGCATGGCTCAGCTTGGAAACCTCTCCCTTTCCCCTCAGCGTGGCTGGCTCAGGAATTCTGGGAGTTGAAGTCCACAAGTCATCAAGGAAGCCATAGTTCCCCCATGTTGGCTCAGGAATTCTGGGAGTTGAAGTCCACCAGTCATAAAAGGGCCAAAATTGCCTACCCCTGTCATAAACGGAGGAGTACTTTTACGATTCACGCCTAAATATTCAAATTCAGAGAAATTTCCAAAGGGTTTGGCTCAAAGACACCCCCACCCCCACCCCCTTAAGCGGGCCGTCTGAACAAGGAAATGATAAGCGGCGATAGACTGCCCCTGTGCAGGGAGGTTCTACTAAGGTTCATGTAGAAATTCACTTCCAGGCTAAATCTTTTTTTTTTCCCTTCCTTTGGAACAGTTTAACGATCTCCTCCAGGATTTCCAAAGTCACTTAAGGCAAGATTTTTTAACCGAAATACGAAGCTCGGCCCTGTTCCATAGGCCAGGTTTGCCGTGACAAAAATAGGAGAGAGAGAGATAACCGTGATCCCCTTTGATCTCCTGATTCAACAATGCCAAAGTACAGCAAACAAGCTTCTTCCTACCAAGAGATTTTTTTTTGTGCGCGGTTTCAAACAAGCCCAGTCCAGAAAAACAGAACAGGGGCCGTTGGGTGGATGGACGTCACGGAGATGGGCAAAGTCTACAAACGCCAGAGGACATTTCTGGCCGTGTTTATGGAGCTCTGTGCGAAGCAGACCGGAGGCCCTGTGGCCCAGCGGTAAATCCCAGGGTGTTTACTTCCAAAGTGTCCTTGGGTTGACCACCATAAATGGGTCATGGAGTGAAGGGGGTGAGCAAAACCGTGAGGCCGCCCAGAGTCCTTTGCGTGGAGATGGGAGGCTGTAGAAATCACAATCAAATCAAATCAAAAATATTGGGAAGAGAAGACCCCCACGAAAACCAGAAAATCTACGAGAATCCGGCATGGTCCCAATCTGACAAGAATAGAATAGAATAGAATAGAATAGAATAGAATAGAATAGAATAGAATAGAATAGAATAGAATGGAGTGGAGTGGAGTGGAGTGGAGCGGAGTGGAGTAGAGTAGATTAGAGTAGAATAAAATAGAATAGAATAGAAATGGAATAGAGTAGAGTAGAGTAGAATAAAGTAGAATAGAAATGGAATGGAATAGAGTAGAGTAGAATAAAATAGAATAGAAATGGAATGGAATAGAGTAGAGTAGAATAAAATAGAATAGAAATGGAATGGAATAGAGTAGAGTAGAATAAAATAGAATAGAAATGGAATAGAGGAGAGTAGAGTAGAGTAGAATAGAATAGAATAATAGAGTAAAATAATAATGGAATGGAATGGAATAGAATAATAATAATAGAATAGAATAGAATAGAATAGAATAGAATAGAATAGAATAGAATAATAATAATAGAATAGAATAAAACCATAACAAAACAGAACAGAATAGAACAGAACAGAATAGAACAGAAAACAGAGTTGGAAGGCCCCTTTGAGGTCTTCTAGTCCAGCCCCCTGCTCAAGCAGGAGACCCTCTATCATTTCAGACAAAGTGGCTGTCCAGTCTCTTCTTAAAAATCTCCAGTGATGAAGGACCCACAATTTCTGGTGGCAAGCTGTTCCACTGGTTAATTGTCTTCATTGTTAGGAAGTTTCTCCTTAATTCCAGGTTGCTTCTCTCCTTGGGTAGTTTCCATTAGCCTTCTGGTGCTTTGGAGAATAACGTGACCCCCCCTCTTCTTTGTGGCAGCCCCTCAAACACCAGAAGACTGATATCCTGTCTCCCCTATTTCTTCTTTTACTTTAGACTAGCCAAAGCCAAGTCCCGCAGCCGTTCTTCTTCCTATGTTTTAGTCTCCAGGCCTTGGATCATCTTAGTTGCTCTTCTCTGAACTTTTTCCAGGAGGAAAGGAAAACTTCTTCCATCTTTTCTCATGGGGAGGACGGGGGTTAACAACCTTCGCAAGGTTAAAATACGTGGACTTCAATTCCCAGAATGGCACTGGATAATTTTGACCGGTTTTAAGCCAGCTCGGCTGGGTCATCTCTTCAGCTAGGTGGGTGATCTCTCAGAACAAACACAGCTGCAGAAATATAATACCTATTTTTCGGCTTCTGAACCATTTTTTTGCAATTTTTGTTCCCAAGCAATTCAGTGACTTTTCCAAAGGGGGAAAAAAAATAAGTAAGTGTTTAAAGAAATGAAGAAATGTATGGCTTGCCTGCAGATTCACACAGACACAATGAGAAGGGAACGCTTCCCTTGATTTAGATACAGGAAGCAAGTCGCAAGAGAGCCTCTGAACATGTGCAGACAGTCCAGGTGTGTGATTGTGAAGGAAAAAGAAATCAGGCATTTAGCATCCAAGCTTCTAAGCTGGAAGAAGTCAGTTCCAGAATATTTGAACCCCTGCGCCACTGTTTCTCTATCTCAGCAACTGTGTGGACTTCAATTCCCAGAATTCCCTAGCCAGCACAGTTGAATTCTGGGAGTTGAAGTCCACATATCTTAAAAATTGCCCAAATTAAGAAACTTTTCCCTACGTTTTCTACTCTAGAAGTTAGGAATTTTGATTGTACGGTGTTTTGTTTTTTTTTAATTAAAAAGCCCGTTTAAACCATTTTGATTTGTTTGACATTTTCGCTTCTTCCCTGTCCCTCGTTCATTTTAAGCTTTTGAATTCTGGAGAAGGGGTAAATACGCACAGCCTTTTTTTTTTCATGGGTTTCGTACAATACAGGTAGTCCTCGACTTATGGCCGCAATTGAGCCCAAAATTTCCGTTGCTAAGCGAGACACTTGCCCCATGTTACGACCTTTCCTCCCATGGTGGCTAAGGGAATCACTGCAGTTGTTAAGTTAGTAACACGGTTGTTAAGTGAATCTGACTTCCCCTTTTGCTTGCCAGAAGGTCGTAAAAGGGGATCACACAACCCCGGGACACCGCGACCGTCATAAATATGAGTCAGGTGCCAAGCCTCTGAATTTGGATCACATGACCACAGGGATGTGGCAACGGT